TTTTAAAATTGAACGTATTCAGGAAGGATCTAATAGTAACTTTTCTTGCCATAGTGCAGCTGAGGGCCATTGTATAAAATATGCCAAGTTAAGTTGTTTTAACTCCTTTGGGGAATTATGTCTAACAAAAACTTCCTGTTCTAGGTTTCACCAGGGTATTCTTGCTAGCCCAAAAGGCCAACCTGAATAAAGACTAGTTATACTGCAGATGTTTTAGCACATTCTCTTTTCAGAACTTGTGCAGTTCCAATAATCTCTAAGAAGCAGCAGTACTCAGTGAGATGTTTATTATAAATGCAAATTCAGAACTGGACAAGTCTGCAATGAAGATAAAACAATAAGAAAGTTTCTCCACTCTTTTGGACAAATTCCTTGGAGTGGATGATTGAAATCTTCAACATTAATGTTGTTTTATCCTTGTCATGTGTCCAAGGCCCTGCAGACACTAGACAGCTTCAAAGGCAAGATTACTTTAGTACCTTTTATGGATATGCAAAATTAGTCCAAAGTTCTTTACTTCAAGTGCCTTTAACTGATTCCAATATAAAAATCATGTTCTTACACAGAAAGTATGATTTATTTCAACTGCATTTCCCAGCAGACATCACTGCAACCTATATGTAAAGGCTTGCTAGGCAACTTATCAATATAAATTGATTTTGCAACAGTAAAAGCTCCAACTGAGTCATGGGATACTATAATAACAAAGTGCAAAGCATTAAAAAAATTTCAGTACTACTAATCCTTTTTTTGTAGAATTAGGTCGTTCAAAACTACTTTCGTTATAAGCTGCCACCACTTCGGTTTTTTCCCCATCCGTGTGGTGTGTTCACCTCAAAATATCAAGAAACCATCATCTAACTATGTTACGGTTATAAATGTGCCGCCTGGTGCTGTAGTGGTAATATCAAGTGCTGTGTCTTCATTCCTCCCTAACCACTGTGCCCTTTATTGTGTTTCATTTCCAATCCTGTTAACATACTTGATCAGCAATGGTCAAATTAACCCTTTCCTGACACTATGCACATTTTAGACCAACAAGTAAAGCTAATGAATCTAATTACCTCACATGATTATTTAAACCTTTCTTCACACAAAGGAAAGCTGACATATACCATATTACAATTACTCTCATTCTAAATATTGATGACCTCCATACCATCTTGTAATGAATATCAAACAGCACTATCTTAATTACTTACAAATTCTACATACAGTATTAGTTTAGCCATCACACAGCGCATGCTTTAGCCACTATACTAAGAAATGAGAATGGGTTGCCTCAAAATATACACAGTACTGTACAGGCAAAAAAATCAGGAGGGAGAAACTGCATTAGATAAAGAGATGTGTGTGGGGAAATAAGACAACAGTAATCTAGAAAATATAAATTGGACTGTAAGAATGCCCCCCAAAAAAAAATATATAAATAAATAATAAATAAAAATAAACATATGATGTCACTATAAACGAATCAAAATTTAAAACAATTTAGATAGATGGGAAGTTCTGTTACTCCCCTCCCAGTACCATGTTCAAGGGTAATAAACAATCATAGTGCTACCCTTAGTCTTATACATGTGAGTTGTGTACTGTACAAGGGCAGTTATGAGCTTCTATAAATTGGTTAAAAGCTTTATCTTGTGACTGTCCAATAAAATGAGGCATCTTAAAACATTAGTCAACGGAGCAGCAACTTTGGTTAATCTCTTGATGAACCGATGATAACTATTTTGACCAATGAAACTACACACCTCATCTGTATTAGTAACAGTAGGGAAATTCTTGACAGTAAATTTTTTTCATAAGATGTATGACTACCTTTAAAGTCTACCAAGTGTCCCCCAAATGGCAGTCTTTTCTTCAAACATTTACACTTACTGATTTGACACACAAACCACCTTCCCTAATTTTGTAGACTTTATCCAATTTCTTAATGTGTTCTGAAACATTCTTTAATAAAATTATGGTGTTGTTGAGATATACAAAGAGTGAGTGACCAACCATGCCACAAAAAACAGCATTAACAAGGCATTGAAACACTGATGGTGCATTCTTAAGCCAAAAGGCATCATTCAAAACTGACTATGCCTTGAAGGTGTAGTAAAGGTTGTGATAGGGAGCGATTCCTCTGCCATCTCCACCTGCAAGAAACCACTGAGGAGATCAAGAGAAGAGAAAACATGGTTACCATCACCAATTGACTGCACTAAGTCTGTGAGGATAGGCATAGGATACTTGTCCGGCACAGCTCGTGTTTACTTGGCGATAATTAACCACAGGTCTCATCTCATTTCCAATCTTGGAAACAAGGAAAAATGGTGAGTGCCAAGACAAGGTGGATGGTTCAAAGACTCCAAATTTAACATATTATTTCCAAGTTTGTCTACAACTGCACGTCTACTGTGTGGCGTGTTATATGGCATAACATATATGGGTTGAACATTAGGAAGGAGTTTCACGTTATGTTTTACCAAAGAAAATTCTCCCAACGGTTCACATGATGTAACAAATGCATCCTCAGATTTCGTAATAATAAGTTCAAAAATTTTAATTTATAAATTCTGACTAGAGTTGGCCACAGAGCAAACTTCAGCAACCTGCCTCGAAGAATCTTGTCCCACCTTTACGGCCAATGACTATACAAGAATATACTGTATCCAATTTTTGTTTAACGCTTGAGCTACATGGGTGCATTTTGTACATTGGAACATGAGAACTGTGGCTAACCCGCCCAGTTTGAAATACTACTGTACGGTATCGTAATTATTCATTGGTGAATATCGAATTGGGATGTTAAAATATCAATTGCAAATAAAAGGGGTTGCAAATAGTGAGGTATATCTGTACATAGACCACTAATTCATGATTCACCATTTCTTAGTAATTCTTGGTCCCATTCTGGCAATATAATGAGGGTCTACTGCACAGAGGTTCAGGTGGAGATCTTACCTGTATAAAACATACATTCAACTTTATATTAGCTAAATTATATAAAGAATGCTTCTACTTAACTCATGAACTTACAACCTGTAGAATATATGAGAGAAATATACAGGTTCTTGTCGAGAGTCTGTTGGTGCAAAACATATACTACAGCGGTCCCTCGGTTAACGAACGGTTCGATTAACGAAATTTCGGTTAACGAATTAGCTCCCATAAGGATTTTCAGTTTGATTAACGAACAAAACTTCGATTAATGAAATCCTTATGACAAACACGTTTTGTTGGCACGCATCAGCTGATCGGCTAGTCCGCCAATACAATAATTGGTTCTATTTTTACATTCGTTTCCAGTGAAGTAAATATCAAGAAAGTTGGTCTCTTGAATATTTCTGCATTTTTTTATAGTATTAAAATTAGTGGTCATTCTGAAACTTAGTTAACATACTGTACTGTATACAGGCAATCCACATATTTTTTATTGAACATTCGGTTGGAATTTTTAATTCTATATATTGGGATGTTTGAAAGAGTGAAGGTTTGTAAGTAAGGGACTGCCTGCATTCCACCTGTACTTGCTAAATTATTCTCAACGTAGCTCTTACCCGACTCGTGAATTTATGTCCTTAAACACTCTTGGGCATTCCCATATGGACTATAATCTGACCGTGTTCATTGCCTATACAATTTGCACTCTTCATACAGCTCCCATACCCTCAGTGTCTCACCATCACCCTCCTTGATCCCCCCAGTTACAAAAAAATCTATCAATATTTATCATACACCCTGTAGATAACGCTTCCCAAGGTTCAAGAAATAATCCTTCGAGTCATACTGATAGATGACCATACTCACAGTTTGAATTCTTACATGACCTGAGAGTAACTACTGAACTAGTAACGGAATCATCTGGTGCTTAGTGTCACAAATAAATAAATTAAGGGTTACTTGATGAAGACAGTAAAAGTCAAAGAACCATGAAAAGATAAACAAATTGATGTGAAGCACTGTGAGTCAATATGGAGGTTGAAGAGTCATTTTATATACAGTACTGAAATATTAAAGCTATGATGATTGTATATTTCACTTATTGTCTTTGGCCTTATATGTCATTTTTCACACTTGTCTGGGAATACTGTCTCATCTTTGAGTTTATGTACACTTGATATCCCTCCAAATATGACTGGCAGAGGAATAGATTACTGATAAACTAACTGACAAAAGATATGATAGAAAAAGCAAAATATATTCTTTGAAGGATAGTAGAGAAATTTAAAACATATCACAGACATAGATGTAGTATGTAACCAAAGAGGAGTCAACAATAACAGAAGGCAAACACTGTAGATCTATAAGAACTGAAGCCCAGCAGCCTATTGCTTAGTACTCAATTATCTAATCCCCTGAACTTGCATTGATTAAAGAAAAATTAGGTGTGGTAATAAGTTTGAGCTTATTAACCTAAAAAGAAAATAAATAAAAAAGCTTGATAATACTATATGGTTACTCGGTTTACTTAGGGAGTTTGAACTTATTCTCAAAACATATACAGGAGTACACCGGGTACACAGAATGAAATGTTATTGGTATTGTGTTAGTAAACATTAGTTAAAACCCTTCTACACAGCCTATAGATACACATAAGATATCAGGATGTGTAGGTTATACAGTATAAATATTTCCTCATGTCCCAGTGGGAGAGCAAACAGGCAGGTTCATGTGAGTGGAACATTTCCCAGTGTAGTGGCAAGCATGCAATTAGTCAATATCAAACTAATGCCCTTGTTTATTCTAGTAAAATAATAACCAAGCAGTCCTTTGTGAGCATAACACTCCCTCATACATCCCTGTGCATGAACAACCAAGCAGTCTCTGTGAGCATAATACTCCCTCATACATCCCTGTGCATGAACAACCAAGCAGTCTCTGTGAGCATACATCCCTGTGCATGAACAACCAAGCAATTCCAACAGGATAATTCCTGTTCCTACCTGCATCAGCCATATTTCATGACATACGCCTGTGGAAGCACCAATCACCAAAGCCATGCAACGTACCCGTGTTAGACAAGTTAGTCTTGCGAGCGAGTGATGAAGCCGTATTGTTGTTGTTATTGTTGTTCTGTGGTTTACCATGCAGACTTATGAGACTATCAGGCCAGAACCTTGTGGCAGAGGCCTTGGGGTTGTAGGCCTTCGACTTCTTGGTCTTTTGGTCAGGAGGAGTGGAGGCATCGATCATGGGTTGGAGGATGCGACGTCGGGCATTGATAAACCAGTTGTTCACCTGCAGAAGCGTCAGGTTGGTCTGTGCTGCGATGTGCCTCTTCTCATCTTCACTAGGATAAGGATGCTGTGAAACATATAAATTACTAACTATTGTACTGGTATCAAAGTAATTACTAAAAGTTATATAAAAGTGTGAGTGACTTATTGTGTTGTGATGTTCTAATAAATATAAAATACTTGAGTAATTTTCAATATAATAAATAACATACCAAACTTACTAGAATATTGAATAAAACCTTAAGTAATAAATACACTATACAGACTTACTGTACATGTTTGATAATCAAGAAAGATGGAAAAATAAAATTACAAAATATAATACAGTAACTGGTTGAGAATAAAGATGGAAAAAGACATTTACATAGAATTTTATCATTGTCAAGAAGGAGATACACTATACTGTACTGCAGTATTGAGGAACAGTGGGCCGAGACATATGGTTTTTTTATGCTAGATATACATTAACTGTAGCTCAGCAGCAGAACATTTCAATTTTCCACTGAAAGTAAATAGTCCCAAGTTAAATTCTCTGCTTAGAAGAAAACCTTATCAGTAAAATGAGTACACTTTGCATTGGCTCATGGTGGAACAATCCTCCAGTGGACTACCATTCCGCCAAAATGGTGCATAATCAAGGGGTCTGCACCAGCCTCTCCGTCCAGTATTATAACAGGAAAAGACTTTCAAGACTGAGAACAAATATCTGCTTGTATATAAAGGCTGCAAATAAAATACTAGAAGGGTTTAAGAGTAAAGTGGTCTCTCTGACCCTGTTTCCTTTGGCATCATATAACTATCCCTGCTTTGTTTATATACAGTACATGATGAATTGTATACCTATGTTGTCTATATACTGTACAGTACATGCTGAATCAATGTAAACTTGTATGGTAATTTTACTAAATATTCATTGAACTTTCTAACAGTTTCTTTCTATGACCATAATGATTCCCACTTGGGCAACTTTACATTTCCTAGTACTTGTACTGTACTGTATTACACTATCCTTTATACGTTACCATTTTTCTAATTCACTGTCATTGCCATCCCTTATTCATATTTTCACTTCTTTATGTATCTCTGTCAGGAAGTATGTCCCATATCGACCTCATCCTCGTTGCTCCAACTACCGACGCACATGTCATCACACTCACACTAAAAGGTTTGTCCCTTAATACTGTCAATGCCTATGTGCCTTCCTCCACCCCCACCGTGCCTCCCCTACCACAGCACAGTCCCCAGCGGTCACCAACACCCCTTCCTCGTGACCAATATCCCTCCTACAGACAGGCCTGGCACTTACGCCCTTAAATGCACGGGTCAAGAAGGCAGGCATGAACTGTTGGGCGCTGTAAATGCTTTTGCAGTTTGTCTTGCACAGAATGCAAAGGGGTGCCCAATAAACTAGCCACCTCACAAAATCGTACTGTACTGTATAACCTTAAGAGACAGAAAATGGCATAATAGGTTTCTCTATAACTACATTCCTGTATGTTCCACTTGAGTGTCAAGGCTACATCATATATCCTTAACTATGTAGGAGTGTAAAGGCTACATAATACAGAATATCCTTAATGATGTAAGAACAATACTCACGACGATGTGTTGGAAGAGCCAGGCTTTCATTATGGCAGTCGCATGCTTGGGGAGGACTCCTCGCTTCTGCCGTCGCATTCCACCATCCTCCTCCTCCTCACATGATGGGGGAGTCAAGGGAGCTGTAAAATAATAATTCATATCACAAACACATTGACACAGGTACATAATTAACCATCAACTGTTTGCTAATTCTTATGACATTTTCACTCATCCCTTCAGTACCATGACGACAGCTAAAGTTATATCTTAGGGATAAACTACCATGATTTTTAATAGGTAGTCTGGCAAGTTCTTGGGTATATTTTATTGTAAATCATATAATATTAATAACAAGATGTTAATGTAAATAACAGAATCAAATTCAGCCGTTATTTATTGGGTCGTGAAAGTCACTCGGTCATAAAAGGACGCCATATTGAGGCTCCATGCCGTCCTCCTATCACCCCTTGATTATGTGAAAGTTGCATAATAAGAAAATGAATAAATAAATAATTCTGCATACATTACTCACACCCGTAGCACAAGCTGGGAATACCACCCTAATGTGCGGCAAAACATTCTAAGCATAATTTGTGTTTTGATCAAGGTATTTATATCAATGCTTAACACATACAGGTACGGTACTACATTATAGCTGCACAAGAAACTCCTTAAAACTTTCCCATCCTTCTAGCTCCAAACACCCTCCTCAACCCCAATAACTGGCCACCCACTCACACATCAACCCCCAGCCCACCTCTTTCCTTCACTCATGAGTCGATACCCTAGGGGTTCACACCTCAAGGATTGACAAGGATGAGTGTAGCAGTTGGAAAAGTCTCCAACTGTACTAGAGCAGCAAGATCTGGTTTTAAGAGGAGTTTACAAATCTCACATTCAGACAAGTCAAGTGATGGTCTGTAAACATCACTCAAGTACCTACCTTGGAGTTGGCATATCACACCCGGGGAACATCACCAGTAATGACAAAGATGGATATTGATGTCATGACAATCACATAATCTTTGGGTATATTTAATTACTGTAACTACAGTATTCGAGGGAAAAATATTCTTTGGGTAATCTGAGTCAGTACTAAAAGTAAATAATACCACAACATTAAATTAAAAAGAAAATGCGAGTTTTAATGCTGACATTAAAGGAAAAAATTAAATTCAATAAACAAGAGTTAGATTTGGAAATGGTGAAATCTTACCCAGCAGGTTAACGATGCTGGTTTCTGGGGGTGGAGGGCAGGGGTGGGCGCCGATCTGTGAGAGCGGAGTGCTGCCCTGGATTAGGGTTGGTGATGCGGGCGTGGACAGGGACGTCGTGGGCGTGGTGGGTGAGACGTGGACGATGGTAGTGGGCAATGTGGTAGTGACGGGAGGGCCAGGAAGGGCAGTGGACTTCGTGGTGGCGACCATACCAAGAGGACTTCTACTTGGGGTTGCCAGTTGATCATGTTGAAGCTCCTGGGACTGTATCTGGTGGAGGTGGTGGTGTTGTTGGTGATACTCTGCCTGCTGCTGCTGCTGATGGTGGTGGTGGTGGTGGTTGTGGTGTTGTTGAGTCACCTGGAGACACAAGGCGGCTTGTTGCTGCTGCTGCCCGTCCAGATACTCTCCCGCTAATACCTGTCCTGAGGTGCTAACTACCTGAAGAAAAGGGACACATGATACTCGACCTGCAGGTTATATTATATGGCTTATACTACAATATGACAGTCTTAACAAAGTTTGCATCTGCTTAAACACAGAAAACACCAAATATTGTATCAGTCTTTGTGTTATGATGAATATAACTTCACAAACGCAAGACTGTCACACTGATTCCATGTGATGTGCAATACCTTGTGATTTATTTCATCAGTGTATGTAAACATCTGGACTAGTTCATGATGGAAGACCAACAAGAGAGCATATGTGTAGTGTTGTACTGACCAAGGGAAATAGCTGAACAAGTACAGTACATGTACAGTACTTGGGCATTAATGTAATTTTGAAAACAACAAAAAAGTGATGCACTGTGTCAAGGAATATAATTTGGATACAACACATTTATATTTTTTGCATTACAATAAACCAATCAGTGAAGATACATAATAGTACAGTAAACTATCTTAATCAAGTCCTATTTATTTTGCCTTCATATAAGTTAACATACAGTAGTTTGGTCACCCAGTTTTACCCAAAATCAGACTTGAACTTTAATTCTCATTACAGCACCTGTGTATTTTATGGTGGAGATGATAATTTAAATAGGGGAACCTAATAATACCTGTACCTTTTAGGAAAATCTTAGACAAATGATACAAGTGATCAATTGTCTGTATCTAAAAGGCAACTATCTTATGTTATCATCTTGACCAAAATATATAAAAAGGGGGTATTTTTTGGGAACACAATCATCAAATTTTTGTTTCTAAACCCAAAGAACACCTCTTTTTTCTTTTTTACGGGGAATAGCCCACCCGGGCACAGGTCATCAACCCACATCGGGGCCTAGAGGGCGAAAAAATAAGAATAAAAAGAAATGAAAAATAGAAAACGAAAAGGTTATATTAATCTACACCACGAAGATGCCGGAAAATCGAACTACTGGTGTTAGCCGTCTGCTCCAATTTTACCAAAGTACCTAACCTAACCTCCATACGGACCCCCCCCCAATATATATATATATATATATATATATATATATATATATATATATATATATATATATATATATATATATATATATATATATATATATATATATATATATATATATAATATATATATATATATATATATATATATATATATATATATATATATATATATATATATATATATATATATATATATATATATATATATATATATATATATATATATATATATATATATATATATATATATATATATATATATATATATATATATATATATATATATATATATATATATATATATATATATATATATATATATATATATATAGTCATTTGCAAGGGAAACGTCGGTAATTATATAGGACTAGCTAATGAGAGAAATTGATTGAAAAAACTTATGAAAGCACCGGAGTCTAACTTTTATATTATAGTGGACACTGGAAATATGTTAAAAATTGGATATTTTAAAAATGAACATTACTTAACATTTGTGGGTATGAAAAACAGACCTAACTAAACAAACCTTCCTAACCTTACCTAACTTCCTTACTTCAAGCCCCCTGGATCCCCTGGTATATTATACAGAAGGAACCTACTATAATATGGTGAAATTTTAGTAATTTTCTGGACGTGAGATGATACGGCTGCATCAGGGCTATGCACCCCGGGCGGCGGAGTGATTTACTGTGTTGGCGGGTTCCACAATAAATTATTATCATATCAGAACTCACTGATGAAAATATACTAAGAAAATAAACAGTAATAAAAATAACTCACTCATGGGTTAGTCCTATATATTAACTAAAACGTCATCGAAAAAATGTCTTAGAATTGTCTGAACTATTGGTTGCACATATCAGATTAACAGTACTCAACACAAGGTGAGTTATGCAATAATACCGAATATTTACCCAAAAACCTCTTGATAATTTACTTCCTCAAAATTCTTAACACCTTTCTGGTTAAGTTTGTTGTCAATTTGGTATTATTTTAGTTTTGGTCATTTAGGGAATCGGTTGGGCTACATTTAATTAGGTCAGGTCAGGTTAGGTTAGGTCAGGTCAGGTCAGGTCAGGTCAGGTCAGGTCAGGTTAGGTTAGGTCAGGTCAGATTAGGTATGGCCGAAACTAAAATTGTACAGTAATTTTTTTTAATAAATTGGGCAAGCTCTTCTGTAATTTGACCCTAAGATATATATATACTTTTGCTTCAAGTTACTTACTCATAACCAAACCCGACACACACTGTACTGGAAGTAAATGTCAACCAGATTGTGTGCCAGCGCTGGGACCCATATCTCGCTTTTTTTACCCTAATTCTTGCCATCTCTTTGTTTATTTCTATTGAAGAATTATGTCTTCCAACGCCTGCTTCATGTGAGATATCCATTACAGTGTGAACGTTCACCATGACTTGTTAATATGGATAAATCCGCGTTAAGAACTCAAGGTAGAGCACACATTCATCAATTCATGTTTACATTTTTTTTAGTTAATTTTGATTATATTAAATAGCTACTGGTGGAGATAAATGGAAAGTGACCCAGGTGCTGACGGTCTTAATCGGAGTACACCTCAAGATACATAATAAATCATAATTAAGAAGTTTGAGCTCAAATGTATGTAAATTACAGTATGAAGCAATGAGGAAATTTCCAACAACTGCCCGGATCAATTAATGCTTACCCCATCACTACATCAGCCGACACCCTGTCTAATAGAAAACATGTTTAATAAGACAGTATAACAATCGGTTAGTTATGATGCCCTTACGGTGACTAACAGTATCTTAAACCCCTTAAAGCCTTTCAATACGGGAGGAGAGGAAGGCGCACTCTCATCACTTCGCTAAACCTGTCAATACAAATAACAGCGGGAAGATTAAGTCTACGTCAACTACAATTAATGAATCCAAATAAATTCCCTCAAAACTTGGACAATATAACAGCGACGGGGAGAGGGTTGGGTGAGAGAAAGTTAAGAGAGAGGAGGAAGATCATGACAAGCTGGGGTAAAAAAAACACCGCCAGCTGACCGTGCCCACATTAACAGTTCGTGACCTGGCTACATGTACTGTACCTGGTGGGTGGTGCTGCTGCTGCCTAACACCTCACTCTCGGGGAAAATAGACTCTATCCACCAACATATATCATTATACTGCCGCTAATACATACTTCCTTACTAAAATACTCGCGTTTATGTTATGTATATTCTAGATACAAAGGTTTCTGGTCCATGTAGGAGCTACACGGACAGTCACTGTAGCCAATTACGGTACAATAATGGGTAGTGAGTCGAGCGCTCTAGTGGCACCTACTGTACATATTATCTCTTCCTCATGAAAAAAACAAAATAAATAAAAATACGAAAGACCAAATCAATCCATGTACTCCAGACACAACATATTTATAAATTTATTTCATCTTGATCATTGTATGTTGTCACGCCACATGTTTTACACTAAGTAAGATCACGTATTAATATCCCGTAGAGGTCTTTGAACATATCCAATAATTTTTGACGAGGAGTTTGGGTTCGAATCCTGCAAGTGATGGAGATGATATTTAGGGATCTCTCTCACGTAATTGCAGGGGGGGGTAAATAAACAGTACAGCGAAGAAAAACATTTACCCTCTACCAAGCTAGGCCTCCCCCATACAGCCTCCCGAGACAGCAATAGGCCTACGGCACGGAGGCACAACGTACCCCTGGGAAAACTTCTGTGACAATTCGTACGTTTCAGTTCCAAATGTTTTTTTCCCTCTCAAAAAGGCGTACGTTTTGACTCAAGTTGTTCGTTTCTCCCACGCACGGTGTTGCTGTCCAGGATGTAACTTTCCTAAGGCATTTCGATCCTAAATGTTTTTATTTTTTCCATAGGCGTTCTCTAACTTTAAACGTTTCGATCCCACACATTTCTGACTTAAAAGGTTTCGATCCCGTAAATTTCATCCCAAGTTATTTTTTTAAACCAAGACGTCACGGCCTAGAATGTCCCCCTCCCCCCCCCACCGGACATTTGCACCTATAACGCTTTGGCTGGTTAGGTTAGGTTAGGTTGGACTAATATGATAACTTTCCTGTATCAGTCTAACGGACCAGAGGGAGGAAGTTTGGTCAGTAAATACGACACAGTTTGGCCCTTTCCCTTAACCCCTCACGTACGATGCTAGCCCCCTCTCCCCTCCCTTAACCCCTTACGTACGATGCCAGCCCCCACTGCCCTCCCTTAACCCCTTACGTACGATGCCAGCCCCCACTCCCCTCCCTTAACCCCTTACGTACGATGCCAGCTCCCACTGCCCTCCCTTAACCCCTTACGTACGATGCCAGCCCCCACTCCCCTCCCTTAACCCCTTACGTACGATGCCAGCTCCCACTCCTCTTAACCCCTTACGTATGATGCCAGCTCCACTGCCCTCCCTTAACCCCCCTGTACGATGCCAGCCCCACTGCCCTCCCTTAACCCCTTACGTACCAGCCCCATGTACCCAGCCCCCACTGCGATGCCAGCCCCCACTGCCCTCCCTAACCCCTTACGTACGATGCCAGCCCCCACTGCCTCCCTTAACCCTTACGTACGATGCCAGCCCCACAACCCTTACCCCAGCTCCCTGCCCTGCCCGTACGATGCCAGCCCCCACTGCCAGCCCCACTCCCTCCTTAACCAGTCCACGTACGATGCCAGCTCCCACTGCCCTCCCTTAACCCCTTACGTACCCAGCCCCACTAACCCCTTACGTACGATGCCAGCCCCCACTCCCCTCCCTTAACCCCTTACGTACGATGCCAGCCCCCACTCCCCTCCCTTAACCCCTTACGTACGATGCCAGCTCCCACTGCCCTCCCTTAACCCCTTACGTACGATGCCAGCTCCCACTGCCCTCCCTTAACCCCTTACGTACGATGCCAGCTCCCACTCCCCTCCCTTAACCCCTTACGTACGATGCCAGCCCCCACTCCCCTCCCTTAACCCCTTACGTACGATGCCAGCCCCCACTCC